GCCACTGCCAGCATGGGCAGAGCTGCATCTTGAGGGACACAGAGCCCAAACACCTTCCCTGAGCTGCTCCTGAGGGACACAGTGGCTGGGCCCCCTGCCTCAGCAGCACAGGAGGGATGGGCAGCCTCTCCCTGCAGCTCCCACCCTGGGAGCATCACTCCAAGGCCAGCACCACTACAGGGATTTACTCCCTGCTTCCCTGGGGGAATTTCTCCTCCTTGCAGGGACACACAGCCCAAACACCTTCCCTGAGCTGCTCTGCAGGGACACAGAGCCCAAACACCTTCCCTGAGCTGCTCCTGAGGGACACAGAGCCCAAACACCTTCCCTGAGCTGCCCTTGCAGGGACACAGAGCCCAAACACCTTCCCTGAGCTGCTCTCCAGCTTTGGGGAGGGAAAACAGATCCTGGGTTTGGCCCTGGCTCAGCCTGGTGCCAGCACAGAACAGCAGGGAGTACCAATAACCTGCAAGGTTTTATTTTGGGAGAGGAGGGGGAGGCAGCCAAAGGTTGGTGCTCAGGAGGTTCAAATGCTCTTTGAGTCTTAGTGAGCCCTGACTTGCCAACAATGCTGGGTGCCAACAGTGCAGATAAAAATCCCCCAAAAACCAGATCTAAACAGGCCCTGAGTACAGATCACGGGTAGAAAAGCTCTGTAGAAATGCAGATTGAAACCCAACAGATCCCCCTTCAGCTGCAAAATCCATGTTGTGCCCCAAAACTTTGCATCAGGGGGTTGGAAATGGAGGATCTTCAGGGTTCTTCCAACCCAAACCAGTCTGTGATCCAGTGATCCTGCCATTGTGAATTTTGTAAATGTGACAAAACCCCCAGTTCTGACGCAGGGAGAGCTGAATTTTTGATTTCTTTACCTCTCCTGCCTTTTAGGACAGAGCTGCAGCTTGCCCCTGGAATTCCCAGGCAGGGCTCAGCAGCAGGGAGCTGGCACTGGATGGTGCTGTGGCCCAGCACAGGTGAGCTCACCTGGCTGCCACACAAATCCTGCTGCTCCTGGAGCCACCAGGGGAGCCACAGGGACAGCCAGGATCCTGCAATACTTCTGGCTGCAAATTCTTTTCAAAAGCAGATTTTGCAAGGGCATTTTGTGCCCCAGGAAGCAGAATTTTGGGAAGTTGGCATCTCCCCAGTCACTGAGTTTTTAAGCACTCTGAGAGTGAGCTGTGCATGTTACCAGTCTGAGCCACCGGAAAAGGCAAGTTTAGGTTAAAAATCAAGTTTTAAAAAATAAACCAATTTCCAGATCACAGAATGTTCTGAGTTGGAAGGGACCCACAAGGATCATCAAGTCCAACTCTTAAGCCATGCAGGGACTGAACCCACAAACCTGGTGTTCTCAGCGCCCTGCTCTGATCAGCTGAACCAGTCTGACATTTTTAGGGATTTTGGGCCCCTGATGCTTTCCCATTGTTCAGGAGGGAAACAGCTGTTGTTTGGTACTCTGGAGTAAAGCAACACTTAAGTACAAGTTCAGATTTTGAAGTGTTTTCCAAATTTTTTTCTAATTCTGGAAGAAATCTTTAAGAGAAATGTGGCTTGTTCCAGGGTTTGAGAAAATCACAGCTGTTACCAACCCAGCCTCATTTTCCCACTTTCCATCAATGTTGTTTGATTAATAAGAGCCAGCTTAGTGCTGAGCAACTCAGGAATAAATCAAGCTGTAGAAGAGGGACACCAGATGTAATAAAAGCAGCTCCTGGAACAAGGAGACGCAAAGATCTGCTTGGTGTGGAGGTGGGGAAGGACTAGCACGTGAAATGTGTGTATTTTCTCTGCCACAGAAGTATATTTTCTTCTCCTGATAAATGTATCCAAGGCAATATAAACAATTTCAAAGAGCTGAAAGTATGCAGTGAAATGTTGCTGTGGATCACACACATCAAAGCAGAGCTGAGGCCCAGAGAGGCTTTCTGTGCAAAGAAAACTGGCTTTTCTTGTATTTCAAGGAAAGAAATCCTTCTCTGCTTCTCCCACTCTCTCTGTCCCTGCACACTTGTCTTGGATCAACATTTTCAGTGGGGCACTTGCTAAACACCGCACTGACATCAGAAAAATTCACTCAAATATTGGTTTCTGCTGTGTGCCTCGGAGATGATTCCAGACCTAATCCCTCTTTGGGATTAGATCCTCTTGGCTCCTGGGTGGTTTCTCCCCGCTCCAGGCAGGTGCTGCTCCACCTGAGCCCTCTGCAGGGTGAGCTGCAGGGCGAGGGGGAGCAGGAGAGGCTTCAGAGGGTGACACGGACAGGAGGGGACTGGGAACACCAAGAGGTCAACTGCAAACCAGATGTGGCCTCAGAGAAAGAAAAGAGCAGTGTTTGAATTGAATGTTCCCTTTGACAGAGCTGGGGAAGCAGAGCTGGGGGAATGCTCTGGAACAGCAGGAGTTCTCTGGGTGGGAGCCACAGGCTGTGAGGAAATCCCAATTAGATTCCCTGGAGGATAAGCTCCATTTGGGACTGTGTTATCTGATGTGTCAGCAAGGACAAGCACACAGATATTATCAGGTAATAATTCCTTTACAACCCAGCCCATGAAGTCTGTAGATAAAGGGGCGGCTTTGGGGTTTGCCCAGAAAAGTCCAGAAGAGTTGCAATGATTCCTGTCTTCAGGGCTGTCACTTATTCACTTTATTAGAACTTTATATATTTCTATATAAGAAATCCATAGAGAGAGGGGCTTTAACTCTGATTTTTGACCAGAAGACTGCAGATAAAGCTGAATTATATCTTCCTTTTTAGCAACCTTTGAACTATTGTCTATATTAGACTAAAACCATTGGAGTTCAAAATATTCCACAGTGGCTCTTAATCCAAGGATGATACTTCAAAGGATCTGAGCAGTTTTGTGGGAGCCAAATTGAGAGCAGCCAAATTAGTCTTCCTGTGCCTCTTCAGGGTACACACATCCAAACTGGCATAACAAAATTCAAATCTTCTGTTTTAGTTGTTAAAAATCAAGGTAGCTTCCCATTCCTGCTGTCCATCCCCATCCCATTTACCTGGATATCAGTGAATTTAACCACTGATAACATTTACTGCAGGAGAACTCATTAAAGGGAAGAATCCTGGAGAAAGGAGGGAATTAAATTCCCAAGAAGTTGTGGTACCAGGTACATTTTCCCCAGGTTTGGTTTTCTGTCTGTGTAATTCCCAGCCCAGACCCCAGCAGTCCCCTGAGGTTCCAGAGGGAACTCAGAGGGGTCCAAGCCCTTCCTACAGAGGCTGGAGCACCCTGGATGAATCCTTTGCTTGTTTTTCTGGAAATTTCTTTTCTGGAGGCCCAGACACACTAAAGGTTCTCCTGATGGAGTATTGTCACACAAAATAATTGAATTTTCTTTTAGGGAGTCCCCAAAAAGACGGGATTTTTGGGAGATCTGTGCCTTCCTGCCCTGTCTCTGAAGGTGTGTGAGCTCCAGTTTTTCCTGGTTGTGTCAGGCAGGTCCACGTCCCCTCTGGAGCAGGGAGAGGCTCTGGGCTGTGTCACCTCTGGAGCTTGGCAGGTGCATTTCTGTGCAGTCTTTGAGCTCTGCCCACGCTGGGATAGTTCAGCCCCACTCTGGTGATGAATTCTCTGCTCTTTAGGGCTGGAGAGCAGCAACACCTCTGACCAGACTAAACGGGCACTTAAGGAGGCCGAGTGTAACAGGGCTCCCCTGGAATTACCCAGCACATTAAGGCCAAACGAGCTCATCCTGAATTCATTAGCAATGATTACTCTGGGTGCCAGAGGAATTAATAACCATTAGCATTGCCTAAGGAGGGCTGCCAGGTCGGGCTGCTCGGGGCTCACAGGCGGCTGCATTCGAGGGAGTCACTAACTGCAGCTCTGTGGGCACTGCACTTCCCTCTGATATTTGCAATCCCCACTCCCAGTTCGCTTGGAATCCAGCTCTAAAAGCACTTCAAAGCCCGGCACTGCCTGCCTCAGCCGCTGCTGGAATTACCTCCCTTATCCTCGTTTTGTCTCCCAGTGAATCTCCCCGGCGTTCTGCAGCTCTTCTGAAAGGTTAATAAACCTGGGAGGCTGCTGGGAGCCACCCAAGGGCAAGGGGACTCCACAGACAAAAGGAATGCAAAAACGCTCTGTTATTATTTTGTGCAAGCAAATTCTCAAAGTAAAGACATCCAAGGCTTTGATTTGGCTCCTTGAAGCTCCCTCTGTTCCCAGCAGCATTTGAAGACTCGGCTCTTTTGCATATCAGAGGCAGCTGACTTGGAGGCACAGGGAATTCACTGCTCACTTTGGATGACCTTTTCCTTTGGGGATGAGCTTCCACAAGAGTTTTACTTCTCTGACAACTTACTCCTGTTCGCTGTCTCCAAATACCACACACTTGGAATTTACATCATCCTGGTACATCAAATACAGCAATGAGCTCTTCTGCAGAGCTGCTCCTTGTAACCAGCAGAATCAAATCATGGCAATATGGAATCTCCTGTCCATGTCTGTGTGGAGCTGTCAGCATTTTTCTGTACCTCATCATGGGCCAGCTATCAAAATAATCTGATCTTTATGGACAGGGAGCATAAAAGCTGAAGTACCATTCACATAATCTGATTATCTCCTTCCTTTTACCCAGGACTGGGCTGCTTTCCTTATCCAGTTTGATCTCTGTCCCAAGGTCCCTGTAGAGTTACTCCACCAGTGGAATTGTCCCCTGCAAGTTTTATGTGAGCAGGAGAGTTTATGGCTTGAGTTCATGGACCTCCTTCCCAAGGTTGTGCAGGTCCCTGTGGAGCAGAGCAGGGGGGCCTGAGGCCTCCCTGGCTGTGCCACCCCTGCCCTGCTCCCCGTGCCCTGCTCCCTGTGCCACCCCTGCCCCGTGCCCTGCTCCCTGTGCCACCCCTGCCCTGCTCTTTACAGCTGGGGCCTCAGCACTGGGGTCCAGATGGGAATGGAAGTTTCCTTTTGTTGGGTTTAGCAATCCTGGGATTAAGCTGAAGGAGTTTTAATTAACAAACTAAGTGTCAAATATGTTTTCAGCATAGTCAGAGTCATTTTACAGCCACTTTTATATCAAAAGTACAAAGGAAACCCTCGTGGTGACACAAATTTCCCCGGATCTTTCTCTGCAGAGCTTAGAACTGGTGCATGGTCTGTTTTTATTTTACTTTTACTCCATCCTGATTGCAAAACCAGTGAAATCTTAACAGCAAAAATACATAATTTTGTTAAAGCCTGCACTAAAGGAAAGCTGAGCCTTTGGCCTTGATTGCTGCTGATCTGCAGGTTATTGGCAAGGATGCACAATTGCCTGATAACCTTGGCTGTCACACAGGTCGATGGCATTGCTGTGACTCAGGGGCCATAAAGCTCCATTCCCAGGTGGGCTGAGGCTGGGGCTGGTCTATAAAGGCAGGGCTGAGCCCAGCCCATCCATCCTGCTCCGGCCAGCTGCTGCTCTGCTTCCCAGGCCCATCCCAGGGGAACTATGGCATTCTCAGGCAAATACGAGTTCGAGGGCGACGAGAACTACGATGCCTTTGTGCAGAAGATTGGTGAGTCTGGCCGGGGTCAGGCACGGGGCATGGATTGCAGAAAATACTGGGGACAGGCTGGCAGAGCTGAGATTGTTCAGCCTGGAGAGGAGAAACTTTGGGGTGACCCAGCTGTGGCCTCCCAGTGCCTGAAGGGGCTACAGGAAGGATGGAGGGAGACTTTATAGGAATGGAGGGACAGGACAAGGGGGAATGGATTCAAATTTGCAGGGTGTAGGTTTAGATGGGATATTAGGAAGAAATTCTTCCCTGGGAGGGTGGGCAGGCCCTGGCACAGGGTGCCCAGAGCAGCTGGGGCTGCCCCTGGATCCCTGGAATTGTCCCAGGCCAGGCTGGACAGGGCTGGGAGCAGCCTGGGACAGTGGAAGATGTCCCTGCTGGATGATCTTTAAGCTCCCTCCCAACCCAAACAGTCCAAATAGTCCATGTGCTTCTAGTTAAAGAGCAAGAGCAAATACACAATAGGTATGTGCAGCTGAATAGCAAAGGCCCAAGGTCCCGCAGATGAAACTCCAAGCATTGCATGTGTAGGTTAAGGAGAAGGGGATATTTGATGTACTTTGTGCATTTTCCCCATGTATTGTTTCTTAAGGAAAAGAATGCAAGATTTGTTTTAGCAAACATATTAATGTACCAATATCTTTCTTTACACCAGTAACTTCAACTCAGAGATTTGATATTGTAAAGAATTAAAAATAAGAAATGAACAACAAATCAGATGCTCTGAGGACAAACACACCACTACCATCCTTCAGTTAAATTCAGCTTGGATTTGATCAACTCTGTGTTTTTGATGTTTAAGGTCTCCCCAGTGACAAGGTTGAAATGGGAAGGAACTGCAAGATTGTGACAGAGGTGGTGCAGAACGGGAATGACTTCACTTGGACACAGCACTTCCCAGGAGGCCACACCACCACCAACACCTTCACCGTGGGCAAGGAGGCAGACATGGAGACCATGGGAGGGAAGAAGTTCAAGGTAAATTCAGGGAGCTCTTCAGCTCCCCAGCCTCAGCTGGGTTTGGATTCAGGGTGAAAAGCAAACCTGTGTCAGGCCTAGTGAAGGGTCCCTGCCCATGGCAGGGGTGGAACAGGAGGGGTTCTAAGGCTCTTTCCAGCCCAGACCCTCCTGGGGTTCCCTGAGTCCATCATCCCTGATTCCTGGGCTGCCTGCCAGGACCATTTACAGAGCTGTTAATGAGTGATGTGCAGATCTGGAACCTGCAGGAATTGGAAAATGAACAAGTGTCTGTTTAACCTGAGAACATTCCAGAACTAAAGCCCAGGGATTTCAGCCCTGTGCAACACAACCTCTGTCTCATAAACATCCAGCACCAGGTGTGCAGGTGTTTACGGAATCTGGCCACAGAAATTCCAGCAAGCCCAGCAACATGAACCCTTTCTCTCCCACAGGCAACTGTCAAAATGGAAGATGGGAAACTTGTGGCTGATTTCCCCAACTACCGCCACACTGCAGAGATCTGTGGGGGGAAGCTGGTAGAGGTGAGTGCTCAAAGATCCAGGGTAGTTCATAAAAACAAAGAGAATCCCCAACATTTGAAATTTAGGAAAAAATCTCAAGCAAAGGAGAGGCCCTGAGCCAGCCCCAGGGCTGCTCCCCTGGGACTCTGGGGCTCTGATTACACTCAGAGTAAAGCTCAACCAAAGTTTTGGGTTGTTCTTTGTTCCAGATTTCTACTTCTTCTGGTGTAGTCTACAAAAGGACCAGCAAGAAGATTGCCTAAGGCAGCAAGGCCAGTCTCTCCCACTGCATTGAAAGCCAACAATAAAATAAATTAAATAAAGTTCTGTCTTCATCTCTTTCTTGACTTTACAAACATCATCATGTTAATGCTGACCCCATTCCTAAATATCTGATGGGAGGGGACCAGATGAGATTTAAGGTCCCTCCCAACCAAACCTTTCTGTGACTCTGATTCTCTCCTCTGAGGGACACCAGTGGTGCTCAGAGCACCACTTTGTGCCCTGAGAGGAGCCCTGAGCCTTAAAAACAAGACCTTTTAATCCTTTCCTGTGCAGACCAGATGTCTTTGGTGTTAGAGCTGCCTTGATGGGGCTGGGAGGGACTTTTACAAGTCCAGCTGACAAATTCCTGACTCCTTTTGGCTGGCAAAGCCCAATTCCATTATCAAGGAGTGTGCTGGGGTGTGGGGGAGCAGGCCCAGTGACACAATCTCCAGCATCAGTGGCACTTCCCAGCTCAGCTTGAGGAAATAACTGTTGGTTTCCATGCTTTATTATAACAATGCAATAACCAAAGCATTCTGCACCAGTATTTGAGTTACATGTCCATGGCATGTTGGAATAATCACGGAATACATAACGGGTGGCTTTGGGATGGAAACATTCATGAGGCTGCTGAAAGCCTGGTAGCCTGTGGAAAAGTCTAAACAGCCCATACAGGGTGCAATCAGCTGACAATCCCATAGGCAGACGTGGAATAATCTGATAATCCCAGGCATGTCCCACGTAAGGCCACACTTTGTTGGATTGAGGCCCATTTCCTATTTTTCCCATAGTTTCTCCTTCTACACTTCATTGAGATAATCTTGGTCGGGATAAATCAAGAATCCAGTAAATAAGCTGTCTGTCCAGTAGGGATCATAGAAGAGCCCATTTTGCTCCGAGTAAAAGATTTGCAGCCACACCTCATCCTCCTGCTTCAGCGCCAGGATGGTGGAGCCAGAGGCCACGTCGTGGTTCCCAGTGTTGGCATCAAAAGTCTTGACCCGGTACTGGCCGTTGTGCACCAGCCCGATGGCCAGGTGCTTGTTGGCCAAAGTGATGTCGTAGGTGAAGTAGTAAATCCCCGGGATGCTGCAGATGAACTTCCCACTGGAAGCATTGTAATGCCCTCCCTCGTTCATCAGGATCCTGTCGAACTTGATGGGCAGCCTCTCCCTGGGGTAGCTGGTGGACACGGCCACCGAGAAGGCAGACCTGGCCCTGCTGCCGCTGCAGCTGCAGGGCCCCGGCGGCCCGGGCTCCCCCTGGCTCCCCTTGGGCCCTTTCTTCCCCGGGGCCCCGCTTTTCCCGGGACTGCCCTTCAACCCCTTGGGCCCCCGGGGCCCTCCCTTGCCAATGGCTCCAGCCTTCCCCTTCGGGCCTGGCTTGCCCGGGTTTCCTGTTCTGCCCTGGGGACCTGGAAGACAAATGATCTTATCAGTTCTTATCACTCTTGAGGGAAAGAGCTGATACAGAGAGTGGAAGGGGGTTAGAGCATTGCAGCAGGGATTTCATTTAGCAGGAAGCAATTGCTGGTGTGAGAATCCCAATAAAATCCCACCAGGGGCTGGACTGACTGACCAGCCAGGGTAGGCAGGGAGCTGGTGGGGTAACAGTGGAATTCTGTCTTTTTAAGGATCAAAAGGCTGATTCCATTATCTAGCTCACTTGAGAAAAAGGAGGAATTACAGAACAAGCTTTAAATGCTTGGGTTTTGTAGAGTGGGGCAGGTTTGTGAAGCTTTCAGAGCCTCAGTTTGAGCAGGTGAATACTTTTGATCTCATGTCTTTCCTTTTTCTTTGCTTTTTTTTTTTTTTTTTTTTTTTTTTTTTTTTTCCTTAATTTAAAAACAATAAAAAAAAAAGCAAATGTCTTCTTTCCCTGTCATTCCCCTACACACACACATACATGCAATGTGCCATCAAATTCTGGGATGGATACACATGCACCAAATACATAAATACACTCCAGAAACCACACCTGGGGCAGGGTGGGGGATTTTTTTTTTTTTTTTTTTTGTTTTTTTTTTTTTTTTTTTTTTTTTTACATTTAGCATGAAACTGTATAAAAACAAGGCAAAAGTAAGCCTAGATGTGGTAAAAAGCCCAGCCCAGCCCAGCTGGGGGATGACCTAGCAAACACAGGGGCCAGGGGCTGCCTTGAGATGGGAAGGGAGCTGGGCTGGCAGTGATTCCGGCTCGGTGGTATCTGATTTGAGCAAAACCGTGAGGATTTATGCAGTGTCTCTTGACCTGCTGCTAGCAAGTGCAGATCGAAATGCAGCTGTGGCTGGAAATCTGCTCTGCAGATTGCCGGTCTGGGGCGGGAGCAGGGAGGCAGCCGCAGCTGGGCTGCCTGGCGTTGCTGAGGCAGGAGTGCTCTCTAGTGTGGCACAGGGAAATCTCCGCTGTCGCAGGCTGCTCCTGCTGCCGCTGCCTCGGGCACAGCCCCGCCTCGGCTCTGTTTGCTCCGCGCTGGGGCCAGCGCCTGTCCCGTTCCAGGCTCGGGGCAGCCGGTGCTGCCTTTTCCCACTCGGCTCTGGTTTTCCTGGGAGCAGGAACCCGAGACAGCTCCGTGTCTGCTCTAGAGCCCTGAGCAGCGCAGGGCCAGCCCCACTGTGTCACACGATGAACCCAGCACAAACTGCAGCTGCCGGGACACGGAGGAGCCCCCGGGACAAGCGGGACCGTCCGGAGGAGGCCCCCATCGGGTGGGGCTGTGGAGGGGCTGCTGCCCCACAGCTTCCACCCTTCCACTGCCGTGTCGAGCGCCTCTCGCTTACCTTCATCGCCGTGCTCGCCCTTGTCCCCGTCCTGGCCGTCCTGGCCGTCCTTGCCCGGGAAGCCCATCCTGCCCACGGTGCCCGGAGCGCCGGGCGCGCCCGGGGGCCCGGGGGGCCCGGGGGGCCCGGGCAGGCTGCAGGCCAGCTGGGCTCCCTCCTGCAGCTCCCGCTTGGCGAACTCCCCCACGATGTGGTTGGCCACGCAGGGCACGGTCCAGAGGAGCAGCACAGCCGAGATCATGGCACGGCCTGCGGGGAGCGGACGGGATCAGGGAGCAGCCGGGGGCACGGCTGGCATGGTGGTGCAGAAACTTGCACCAAAATGAGATTCTTTGGCTTGTCCTGGCAGGCTGGGGGAGCTGTTTGCTTTGGTGTGATGTGATTCCCAGGACTTGGCTCACGGAGTTTTCTGGGTCAGGCCAATATTTGTATCAAACTTACTCTTCTCCAAGCCTGTATCTGTGGCCATCCCTCATTTCAGTTTGCTCCCTGAGCCTCTTTTCTCCCAAAACACCAGGAGCAATGGCACAGGGGTGCAGAAAGCAGCTGCTTGGGAGCAGGGCAGTGGAAGAAGGAGAAGGGGTTTGGTGTGGACATCCCCAGCATGACCTGCCCGTGGTTGGGTCACTGAGGTTTCTTCAAAGCACAAAGCCCATCATGTGATGAGGACAGGACTCAGAAGACAGGCTGGGCTTTGGGCCAGGCCTTAGTGCCTTTTGCCTGTCAGATGAGCTGAGCCTCATCCCCTTCCCCACTGCAGCTCAGCTTTAGCAGCTCCCCAGTACTGTTTTGTGAAACTCTTGCACTGGAAATAAGATCTTAAAGCACTGGGTAAATTCCATGTTGGCCTTAGCTCTCATCCTGCTCTCAGCTCCTGAGGGTGGAAATGCATATTTAGATGCTCCAAATCCAGCCAGCTGATCCTACATATTTATGCTCAGTTGGAGCCCCCAGTTCTGTGATATTATAATTAAGAACATGCAGAGGAGAGGGAAATGCAAACCAGATCCAGGGATGGATTTGGCTGCTTAAGCCCTTTGGTTCTTCAGCTCTGATTTGCTGCTGCTTGGTTTAATGTGAGATGGAAAACACCACCCAGTGTTCATGTGGAAAGTTGAATGAAGGCTTCTGAGTTCATGGGAAGGGAAACAAAACGCCTGTGGAGTGGGAGATGACAAGGCAAGCTGCATCCCTGCTTCCCAGGAAGGCCTCCAAAGGGGCAGAGCAGTGAGAGGTGTCTGGAGGTGGATGTGACTCACAGGGAAAAATGCCATTGTGGAGCATAACCTGGAGAAAAGCTGGGAATGCCTCATGTGGAGAAGAAAGGTGTGAGAAGGATGGGAGGCAGCTCCTCCTGTGGCAGTTTCTCACCATAATCACTTCTGTTCCCTTGAGACAGCCCAGCTCATTGACCTGATGGGATCAAAAGTGGCAAACAAAATCCCCCGGGGTCGGGAGCTCTGTGGGACCAGTTCTTGGATAAGTGGGGAGGATGCAAGTAGCTGGGGCTGTGCTCTGGCACAGCTCCAGAGCTGGTGCTAATTAATGGCACCACAAGAATGCTTCATCCCATATCCCAGCACTGTGTGTGGGATGCAAAGCACCACCACTTCCACAAGAGCATCTATAAATAACCTCTTCAAGAAATCTTCTTGAAAGAGAACAAACCTCATGCTGTTCCACCTTAAAAGGAAAATTGTTCCTTGATATAGAATGTCCGATGAGCTCCAAAAAGCAAATTGGAAGCAGATCAGCATCTCCCCTCTCCGTGGTGTGGGCAGCCAGCCCAGCACAGGAGGCTGTGCAGCAGCAGGGCTGCTTTTCCAATGACATTTTAACCAATGGCTTTGCCACCAGGGTTAGAGACCTTTGGGCCATGACCAATGCCTGTTATGCATTAAAGAAGTGTTTCTGTGAGAAAAGATCCTGCCTGGAAGAGCCAGGATCAGCTGTACTTTCTGCTGCTTCCAGGGCAGCTGGGCTGAAATCCCAGAGGAAAATCCCTGAGGGTTGCCAGATGCAGGGTTTGGTGGCATGTGCAGTGACGATGATTTTTTGGCCACTGAAGCCACCCTGTGCCATGTGGTGGTGGGAATAGGAAACTGAGGGAATTGCTGCTTGGAGGGAGGCAGGAGCAGGGACCCAGCAGTGAGCGAGCACTGTGACTTTCTTCTCTATTTCCTTTCAGTATTCAAGGCTTTCTCAAATAAAACATCCATCTTTCTGCCTCACACTTTCCTAGTGTACCTCAAGGTGTCTTAATTAATCTTCAAGATAATAATTATCCCCA